TCCTTCCTTCCTTCCTTCCTTCCTTCCTTCCTTCCTTCCTTCCTTCCCTTCCCTTCCCTTCCCTTCCCTTCCCTTCCCTTCCCTTCCCTTCCCTTCCCTTCCTTCTGAGGTTGGTAAAATGAAGACCCAGATTGTTGGGGACAATGTGGTAACTATAGAGTCTGAAGCGGTCTATAAGTCTAAGTCTTACAAGTATAGACGTGTAAATGTCTAAGTCTAAAGCAGTCTGAAGCCGCCTCTAAGTCTAACTGCTACTGCAATTTGGACTACCTCAAAGGACTGTCAGGTGGGAAACCAGGCCCTGGAGGTCGGGGGTGGGGTGTGGGAAGCTGTCAGGGGTCAGCCACCCACCACTAACTCACCAAAGGTCAGCAGGAAACCATAGAGCATGCTCAGGATCCAGGAATACCAGCCCTTGTGTTCCATGTAGAGCAGGCTATATACAGCGTAACAACCCAGCAGGGGGAAAAGGATCCAGGAAAGGTACCGAAAGGCCATCTGTGAAGGCAAAAGTGGGGGGAAGGGTTGAGGGCAGGTTGGAAAAAGTCAAGCATACTAGGATTTCGGGAGAGGGGAACCCACCCAGGGCCACCTAGGGACTAGCGGCTGGGATCAAAGTTTGCTGGAGTCACCAACAGGCTGTTGTGGTTTGCCAGCAGCCGGTGCAGACGGCAGCGGAATCGGACGGTGGGGAAGAACGGGGACCAGTCTGGGAGTCTGGAGAGGACTCGGACGAGGGTCCTGCGTCCGATGCAGAGATGGGGCCAGGACCATCTGGGAGTGGGGTGCTGCCTCTAGAGCCTCCGGAGTCTGGCAGCAGCGAGGCCGAGGACCCAGGGGAGCCTGTTCCCAGTGTGTGTGTGCACAGAGCTGCCAGAAGGCGAGAGCAGCCGAAACAAAAGGGGCGACTCGGGAGTAAGGCTGGGAAGTGATGGCCCCTCCCATAAGGGATAAAGGACAGGCAAAGGTGACGAAGCCTTTGCAGGAAGCAAAGTCGTTCGCTCAGCTCAGATTCATTTTGAAGCTTTGTGTGGACTTTGTGCTTTGGTTGGTTTATAGTTAATTTGGCACTTTGGTTGTTGGCAGCCATTCAAAGGAGAGAAAGGTGGGTGCTTATCTCGAGGGACCGTTTGGGACTCATTACGAGCTGGGAATGAAAATAATTCCTAGCATTGAAATAAAACAAGAGTTGTTTTAACTAAGTGTGAGCTTAATTACGGTCTTGGGAAACTTTGGTCAGAACACAGGCAATATCTAGCGTAGCATTTTTCCATCTTGACAGAACGTGGAAGATGGGTGGACTTTGACTCCCATGGCGGGCTGGGGAATTCTGGGAGTTGAAGTCCACCCATCTTCAATGTCCATGGAGATTCTCAAGACATCCAGGTCACGATTGTCCCAAAGGTCCTTTTTTCGAAAGGCAGCTGGACTTTATTTTTTCCCTCGAAGATGTTTCGCTTCTCATCCAAGAAGCTTCTTCGGTTCTCGGATGGATGAGAAGTGAAACGTCTTCGAGGAAAAAGTAAGTAAGTCCAGTTGCCTTTTGAAAAAGCACCTTTGGGACAACCACCTTCAAGCTGCTGAGGTTGACAAATATCGACTTAGGATCTCTGCCTAGGGGTGGTTGTGTTTTTGGGGAGCACTAAAGCTGGATGGAAGGACCACCTTCGGATGATGCTCTGGAACGGAAAGGACCAGGTATCCTGAATACTCGGAAGGCGTGTCCACACCTGGGAAGGCTTGAACTTACATCATCGTAGATTTTGGTTGACGATTCGATGTATGTCGATTTGTCTTTGAACGTCAAGCGTGGGAAAATCCCGGCAATTTTGTTCTCGCGGTCCAGCTGTTCGGCAGCATCAGAAAACAGAAGAGAAGAGAATGAAGAGAGGGCTAGATTTTGAGACATCGGACACAGCACCTTTCCCTTCCCAGAATCCCCTCCCCGAGGGCACTGAGGCTACAATTCCCATCATCCCCAACCATCCTATACCTGTGATGGGCTGGGAAAACAGAGGGGCTAAGAAAGTCTTCTCGGAAATAACTCAAGGCGGCAAATGAATCCAATATTCCTTCCCATTCCTGTTTTCCGTACAACAACAACAACCCTGTGAGGTGAGTTGGACTGAGAGTGAAGGACTAGCTCAAAGTCACCCAGCTGGCTTTCATACCTAAAGTGGGACTAGAACTCCC